AATATATATATATATATCCTTTTGTTTTTGAATACATATATGTGTGAATCTATTATATACATAAACATCTACAAGGCTATGCTCAAACTAAACCTAATTAAAGTCTAAATGGAACTAAGCATTACCTAATCCATCGAGTTAAACTCAATGATGCTGAAACTAAACCTAATTAAAGTCCAAATGGAACTTAATCCACCGAGTTAAACTCAATGGAGAGAAACCTATCCAAATCCAAATCAAGCTAAAGCCCATCCTAAACCCAAAACCAAATACCCAAGTCTCACATGGTTCAATTGAGCTCACTTAATGAGCCTCAATACATTCTCCCTCCACAACAAGAGCTAACCCTCTCCCATAGCCAGCTCAACCGACCAAACCGGCCCAGGACCACTAACTCGGCTCAAAATCGAGCCCACATTGGTCCAAGTGATTGTTTGCGCACCACCTGCCCAAAAAAACTCAGCCTCTCACCCGCAACCATCTTAGGTTTTCTCCCAATCGATTAACCACCTCCCTCAGCTCACTCACGCCTCCCCTGGCCTCCCTGACCTCAACCAAAGATGCTAAGCTAAACCTAATAGCTACCTCCATTTATTCTATTCCATTGAGCCCACCGAGCTCAATTACTTTCAAGGGCATACTTGAGCTCAATTACTTTCAAAACTGTGTGTACAATCATCTATTCGATCAATTACTTACCATCCAAAGTCACTAGACATTTATCCCCTATCAGCTTCTCTATGGCGCCACACCTCACTAAATCATCTCAAATCTTATCGAAGTTAATGTTTTTCTTGGCTACCACCCATCCATAGGAGTAAATTGCAACCAAGATCTTTATCCTGTATCTTTTTAGGCTATCCATCCAAAATCAAAGTTTATAAGTTTTTCAACCCTAATATTGGTAAGTTGATCATAGCTAGACATATGATTTTCAACGAATCCATCATTTCTTACAAGGCCGTCTGTCATCCACCAAGCATTCCTCCAACACCTTACATCATTTCACCTCTACTTCTCATACCTACCTCCAATATGCAATCAACCCCATGTCTTCCTACATCTGTGCTGTCCCCCCAGCGCTCCAAACCGAAAAGCCCACTCTCAATTTACTCTGCCCCAAAAACCATTACTAAATGATTCTTCTTCTAGCATTAATCCTAACAGCCATCCTCCATCTATCAAACCTCCCACACCAAAAGATTCAATGGTCACTCGTTCAGAGATTGGTTCTCTCCCTAAGAAGGTGATTCTCAATCTCTTACACAATAAATCCCTAAAACAAGAACCGTGCAATTACAAGTAGGCTGTTAGATTTCTTCATTGGAAGTAAGCTATGGATGAAGAATTTCATGCCTTATAAAAACAACACACTTGGAAGCTTGTTCCCCCTCCAATTGATCAACCTATACTAGGAAGTAACTGGACTTACAAAATAAAACGTACCACCGATGGTTTAGTCGCTCGCTACAAAGCTTGATTAGTGACTTTAGGATATCAACAAGTGTTTGACCTTAACTATATAGACACTTTCATCCTCATAGCAAAATTATCTACAATACCACTCTTAATTATCATCACTCTTCATTATAAATGGAAAGTATGTCAAATGGATGTCTGAACGCATTCTTACATGGTCAACTTCAAGAAATTGTTATATGCATCAACCACCTGGTTACAAACCTCTACCCATCTCATGTATGTCTTCTACAAATAATTATCTTCGGTCTCAAACAAGGTCCAAGGCAGTGGAATACAACGTTCACCACTCATTTACTTAAATTCAGGTTCATCATAAGTGACGCTGATCCATCTCTTTACATCTACCATCATAACTCTCACCTGCTTTATCTTCTACTTTATGTAGATGATATTCTTCTCACTGGAAATGATATTGGTATGATGCAGCAACTTCAACAAGAATTACAACATCATTTCTCTATGAAAATTTTCGATTCAGTCTCTACTTTTCTTGGGATCAACATTACACACAAATCATATGGTTATCATCTCAATCAAACTATGTGCATGAAATACTTCGCCAAGTTGGAATGGCAACTTGTAAACCTATCTCTACTCCGCAAACCGTTTCTACCAAGTGTTTAACTGATTTTTCACCCATTCCATCTATATATGGGCAACTAGTCTACTCACTATAGTACCTCACCTTGACTAGAACATATATTATGGTTAATGTTAATTCACTCTCCCATAATCTTTTGAAACCCCTTCAATCTCATTATCAACTTTTTTAAGCGTCTCTTAAGATATCTTTACAACACCTCTGAATTTGGTTTACCATTTGAAGTAGGCTCTCTCACTCTTCACACCTATGTTGACGCAAGCTGGGCAGTGATGTGAATAACAGAAGATCTATCACTGAGTGTTGCACCATCATAGGTCCTAATATTCTTTCATGGACTGTGAAAAAACAACCAAATGTTGCTAGATTTTCAATTTAAGCTGAATACCAAGCTATATCTTTCGTTGTGACAGAAGTTCTATGGCTAAGGAGACTTCTCAAAGATTTTCAAGTTTCCAACCCTATACCTACAACAATTTATTGTAATAAAATGTCAGCCATGGCCAAAGCTAATAACCCCACTTTTCATGCTCGAACAAAACATATTGAAATAGACTATCATTTCATTAACGATCACATCCAGTCTAATGAAATTACAATACAGTCACGCCCATGAACAAACTAACAATATATCTTTTCAAACTCGGGCCAGCTTAAACAATTACAATATTAGAACATTTACACACAAGCCACTCAACTCATATGTATTTACATTCTTAACATTATAGACATCAATTTTTACATCCATACCACCCTATGCATGCATGAAAGAAACGCATTTTACTTTTTCAAAATAAAAAAGAAGGTATCTTTGATGTGATTCCGAAATTTAGCTGTAAATGGACGGGAATTGGGTGGCATGTATGTAAATGCCCCTAAACTGTCAAACGAAGCATAACCATCAGTACGACCCAATTCTGGCTTTGACCGCTCATTCTTCCTGTTATTTGCCTGTATTTTCTTCCCTTTTCTGGCTTATTCTTCTTCTTCCTCTTCCAATTCCTCCTCTCCTTCCTCTCTCTTCCGCAAAAAGAGAGGATGTTGCAGAGAGCAGCAAGCAATGCCTACTCATGGTGGTGGGCGAGCAATATCCGAACGAGGCAGTCCAGGTGGCTCGACAGCAATCTCCACGGTGAGTTCTTTCCCCTCCTTTTCTCTCTGTACATTTGAGCCAATATTACGTGCGGACGTCATACATGTCAATTGATAGTATTCTGATGATATTACATCACAATATAATCAGAATACTACTAATACGCACATATCTCGTCTGAATCTTTGCTATTTACAAAATGAGCACTATTGATAGTATTCCCGTGATATTACAAAATAATAACATCAGAATGTTACAAATCCCTACGTATCTCATCTAAATCTTTGTTTTTTACAAAATAAACACGATTGATAGTATTCTCGTGATATTACAACACAATAATACTACATATCCGCACCTATTTCATCTGAATCTTTGTTATTTACAAAAATGAATACACTTTTTTATCATTTTTTTCAAATTCGACTCGAATGCAACAATATGCAATAATATCCCAACTCACATCTTTCATTCTTATCAAATTCTCAATGATTTGATCGTGACATATGTAAATGTATCGATTCATAAGCTCAAAAAAATTAAATACAGGGTAAAACTCAAACCCATTTTTTTACATATTTTTATCAAATTTTTTATAGTTTAATCGTGACATACATAAATACATCAGTTGGGAATGTCTCTAGTGCCCTGTATGTAATTATCCCTATTATAAAATGTTATAAGAGAAACATTTATATAAGATATGAAATAAAGAGTGAGCGTTCTCAGTTATAAAGCTTATGAAACTTTATCTTCCATGTCTTTTCAGAAATGGAGGAGAAGGTGAAGAACATGATCAAGCTCATCGAAGTGGACGCCGACTCCTTCGGCAAAAAGGCAGAGATGTATTACCAGAAAAGACCTGAATTGATTCAATATGTCGAAGAGACATATCGAGCTTATAAAGCTCTGGCAGATCGATATGATCGAATTTCAGGCGATCTGCACAAGGCCAACCACAACCTTGCATCAGCTTTCCCCGGTCAGTTCGGGATGCATGACGATGATGATGAAGATGACTCCCCAAGAGAATTCACCACGATAGATACCAGTAAGCACAACAAGACACTGCGGATCAGCTCAAGAAACGAGAGGAGAGATGGAGTTTCTACTCTGAACAAGAATTGTAAGAAGGTTAGGCCAGGCATCACGAAAAAGAATGCGCAGGATGAAATAGATAGGCTGCAGAAAGAAATCCTCATTCTCCAGACAGAGAAAGAATTCATCGGGAGTTCCAATGAGAGCGGTCTGGCCAAGTTTTGGGAGATTGAAAATCAGATCACTGCTTTGCAAGATGAGGCATACACATTGCAAAAGGATTTAGGTGTAAGTTCTATGATTGCAGAGGACGAGGCCCGCGCTTTGATGGCCGCCGCTGCAATCACGTCGTGTGAAGAAAGCTTGGTCAGCTTGCAGGAACAACAGAAGAAATCGAGCGAAGAAGCGAACATAGAATCTAAGAGAATTAGGGAAGCGAGAAACAAACTACTGGCTCTCAAGGGAGAGAATTGCTTGCCAGACATGGAGGAGGAGATGTTTGGTAAAGAAACAAGCAAGACAGACAATGATGTGTTTCTCCTTGGAAATGAGGGACTGGACCCGTACTCCATGTGTCTGCAGGTGAAGCAACACTTCCAGATTAACTCTCACACATCAGATGTTGACCTTGTGGAACAGATTCATGAACTTGTTGAGAAAGTCATTAGATTGGAGGTAACAATCTCATCACAAAGAGCGCAGATAAAGAGCTTGAGGTTGGAGACTGATGAGCTTCATAGGCAAATTCGAGAATTGGAGGAAAATAAAGCTAATTTGATGATTGATTCCGAAGGTTTGAATGTTAGAATAAGGCAGGCAGATGTCGAGCTTCTTAGAATTCAGAATCTTGAGAAAAACATGCATGATGAGGAAGGGGTCCTTCAAACTCACTTTGCAGTGGCATTTAACAGTCTTAACAACATTTCAGAAAAATTACAGTCTAGCAGTCGTAGTTCAACTAAAAATATACAAAATTTGGAGAATAATAAAGAAGTTGAAGAGGAAAATAACTCCAGGGATGAAGGAGGTGATGCAGCTCAAAAGAATGAAGTCTTTGTGAAGGAGCAGGTTGAGCCTCATGCTGATTTACATTCTGATGAGGCTTTTTCTCAAATATTTGATTCTTTGGAGGAATCAAAAGCAGAACAACTTGATGGAAGGGCCTCATCATTAGTAGAGGATAATGAGCTTAAGGATGAAGAAGTTATTCATGGGGCGCAGAAGTTGCTTTATAATGAACCAGAAGACAAGCATAAAATGCTACTCTATGAGTACACAACGATTCTTCGAAATTACAAAGAGACAAAGAAGACACTAAGAGAAATGGAGAAGAAGAACAAAGAGCACCACTTTGAGATGATGACAGAGATTCAGGAGTTGAAGCGTATGAATGTTGTAAAAGATCAGGAAATAAGAGCTCTAAGGAAAAAACTATTCTCTCACACTCCTAATGGTGTGGCATGTTCTCGGAAAGGAAATAAAATGCAAAATAAAGAGGAGAATGGAAGCTTCATTAATGTAATTACAACCAAATCAGATTCTCCAGTTGGCATCAATGGATCTGAAGAGGAAGTCCAGCTATGCCATTCAAATCAGCAGCATACAACTTCACCTATAGAGGAAAAGTTCAAAGTTGAGCTTAACGCTCTTCTTGATGAAAACCTGGACTTCTGGCTAAGATTCAGTACATCTTATCATCAAATACAAAAGTTTGAAACATCCTTCAAGGAGCTGCAAGCTGACCTGAAGAAGCTCAAGGGTTCTAATAAAGAAGGTAGATCAGTTTCTGCGTCCCCAATGCATATATTAAAAGAAGACAAGCCATTTGATAAGAAACTGAGGGAGTTTCATACTGAGCTCCAGATTTGGTTAGAGCAGAATGAATTACTGAAAGGAGAGCTTCAACTAAAGTACCAAACTCTCTGCAACATCCGTAAAGAGATTTCAAAGGCTTCAAGGGACTCCGAAAATGAGGAATCCAAGCTAACTCCTTACCAATTTGCAAGTTTCCAGGGTGAGCTTCACAGCATGCAGCAGGAGAACAACAAAATTACAAAGGAGTTACAAACTGGTTTGGATCATGTGAAAGCAATTCAATCTGAGATTGTGAAGGCTCTCTCAATAATGAAGGAAAGCTTTGATCTTTTGGGCTCAAAGGAACAAAATGCTAGACACTTCGACACAAAATCTAAGGTTCCATTGAGAACATTTTTGTTTGGAGAAAGGCGAAAGAAGCCATCCTTCTTCTTATGCATAAGCCCAACACCAAACAGGCATCATGGTCACACAAATTTTGGGTCCCCTTGATCAGCAGAGATGGATTGGTGGTAATGGCTTGGGGTATGTTTTCTTTCTCCTATTATTTTTTGTTGTGGTGATAGGAGGCAGTATTACCTTTTCTATTGTATGTTGATTCGTCTAGGTTGCTAATGGAGAAGTTAACTTAATTTCCAAGTAGTATGCTTTTGTGTTGTGGGAATGATATGTGAAGTTCATTCGTTTTTTTTTAGATTATTTAAACAATGGAACTTCTCCTATTGATAAATTGAGAAGGATGAGTAGTTAAGAGCTGCTATAACTCATAGATTACTCACCTGGTTTAATGCTCTAACAAGGAAAGATCAATCTGGCAGAAGACTACAATAACAAGACATGGGTTCAGTTAGCGCAACCAAAGACTCCTAAGGTTCAAATTGATGGATAATTCACAATATAGACTTGAGAATTGAGATTTTATAATCAACTTGATTTCTTATGAAATCCTTTGACTCAGTGAATTCACATTGTTTGTGACTCGATTGAATATGTGTTTATGACTTGATCGTGCATTCTACTGGACAATTATTTAAAAAGTTGTCATCTTGAGGTATCAATTTGTATAGTTACAAATTTAGGTTAACAACTTTCTATTATTTGATAAAGCATTAATCAGTGCAACCAATTTAAAAGATTTAACAAAAAAAAAAAAAAAAAACTAAATTGATGTAAGAGGTATAACTAAGGCTTCTAGAAAAAGTATGTTCTTAAGTTTATAAATTCAAGCTATACTCGAGCTTGGCTTTCACTATGATTTTATTAATCAAAAGCCAAAGTGTTATAAGGGAAAAACTTACGTTGGCTTAATTAAACCTCTTAAACTCAGTCAAATAAGTTGTTCATTTTTATAAACAATAGAATAATTAGGATATAAATAATAGTTATTTATTTTTTTCTATACGATAAAAGTCACGGTCATTCGACTTGAACCCTTGGAAATGGATGGTCGTGATTTCAATTCCTACCTCTCGCTGAGGAAAAGTGGATGTTCACCGAAAAGCGCCTGATCTGGCTGATCCAATGGTCGGATCTTGACCTGAATTGATCCAAATGGATCAATGAGTCATGATCAAGCTTCTACCCTAAGCATTTGCATTGTATTTATGGCTTTGATATGTCCTAAATCATACTTCATTTCCTTAGTTTTTTATATTTATTTTTTTGATGAAAATGCACTTTAAAGGAAGATGTTCTTGTATTTTTCGTACAGGTATGGAGTGAACCAGGATGGAAAAGGAGCAAAAAAGAGCTGAACAGAGCAAATTAGGAGCTCACACAACTAGCTCCTATGCGCCAGCTCTCTGTACACCAAACCTAGAAGGCAACACACAGGAGTCAGTTCTGGGTGCCAATGCATGCCAGTTTTTCTGCAGTTGCTCAACTGCAAATTTGGAGTTATTTTTGGCAGTTTAAGGCCACTCAGATGAGGATTTAACACAAGGGGGCAGAGGAGAAATGAGAGGACGATCTGGAAAGTGCTGGGAGAAGCCAAGGAAGACGTAGAGAAGATTAGAGTTTGTATTTTTACCATCTCTCTTGAGTGATTGGTGAGGATCTTGAGAGAAGATTGTAAAGGAGAAGCATTACATCGGAGCAAGAAAGGCTTGGATACATTGTTGGAAGAAAAGCTAAGTATGGCTTTTACATTTGTTTTGTAACTGGTTGTGACACGTACTTAGTGAATTTGTTTAGTGATTTGATGATATTTTACATGTCTTCTTCATGCTTAGTGAGTAGGTTACCTTTACCTTTCTCTTGTGATGCATATGTAGGTTATGTAGGTTGTAAATATACTTCTAAAATCAATCTTATAATCTTAATGTGTTGGTTTTACTTCATGTTTTATTTATTAATCAATTTGGTCAATTGATGTGTTAAAACTTCCTGCAAACCCATAACGATCTGAGAGGACTATGGCTTTACCAACTAGAAAAAATCACATGAATTTATGGGTGAAGCCCAAACACCCTTTTGCTTTTGGGATTGTAGTTAACCTAGTAGAACTTGAAATTTATTAAATTCTATCCTTATCACATTTCTCGGTTATGCTCCTTAGAATAAAAATTATGTTATCAAAGTTAAGACTAACCATTCAAGATTTTAAAATTTACTGTTTTATTTCCTACACTTACTTTATTGCATGGCCTTCATCTTAGTTTTAAAATAATCATAAAATGCATGGATATTACCCTCAAGCATGTTAATAGGGTCTCCACACTTAGGATGCCTCAACTTACTACATATATACTCCATTACATGAGAAAAGTACTTTTGCTTTTCAAACCGACTAGCCTAGTATACGCCATTATACAATTTTTTGGTTAGGGTGTTGGAGGCTTTCCTTATCCATACAAGATTATAAGTCCTTTGTTGGGTGGCTTAGCTTTGTAGCTAAGTCATCTATTTCTTCTCCCTTATATATAGTTTTCCTATCCATACTCTTGATAGGGATACTCCTTATTCAACCTTATTTGTCTAGATAGATTGATATATGCTTAGAATCTTTTTCATCAGTTTCGGGTTTATTGATTCTTCAAGACAATGAAACACATGGGCTACTGATGAAGTGATCCCCAATTAGGTTGCATCAACTACCTTCACAACTTAGTAGGTAAAAGGTCTTAAAAGTCATTTCCATGGAGCCTCGACCCGACTATCTCTACCATATAGGTTTGTTTTTGATCTACATGTTGATCTACCTCTTTTAGACATAATTTTTCCTTTTTTTCAGTCTCTTATAAACATGTACTGAAGGCCCTCTTCGTTCAATGGTGTGTACTAGTGATGTCACAGTAATTTTCCCTCTTATTGATGGTTTACTTATGCCTTGATGATTGGAGTATCTCCCATAATGGGATATCCTTAGTTTCTCCCTTATATATAGTTTTCCTATCCATACTCTTGATAGGGATACTCCTTATTCAACCTTATTTGTCTAGATAGATTGATATATGCTTAAAATCTTTTTCATCAGTTTCGGGTCTATTGATTCTTCAAGACAATGAAACACATGGGCTACTGATGAAGTGATCCCCAATTAGGTTGCATCAACTACCTTCACAACTTAGTAGGTAAAAGGTCTTAAAAGTCATTTCCATGGAGCCTCGACCCGACTATCTCTACCATATAGGTTTGTTTTTGATCTACATGTTGATCTACCTCTTTTAGACATAATTTTTCCTTTTTTTCAGTCTCTTATAAACATGTACTGAAGGCCCTCTTCGTTCAATGGTGTGTACTAGTGATGTCACAGTAATTTTCCCTCTTATTGATGGTTTACTTATGCCTTGATGATTGGAGTATCTCCCATAATGGGATATCCTTAGTTTCTTATACTTTAGAACAACCTTATGCAAACACAACAACTCTTATCATGAGTTTTCTTGAGTATTCCACGATATGTAATTTGACCATGAGGATATGTCTTCGTAGGTTGTCACTTTGAATCTCTAACAAAATAAATTTGATTTTGTATTATGGTTTGGCTACGAAGCTCTTTGTATAAGAACTTTCTTGTTGCTTTTCAAGATTTAAGTACTATATGATTTACTTTAGACAGTTCTTTTGTGGTTTATGTCAAGAGAACTTATATATATATATATATATATATATATATATATATGTATGTATGTATATATATATTTAGAAGCCCTCTATAGGCAGAATGATTCTTTTGATTTATAAGGGTGGCCTACTAAGAGGGAACTGGAGAAAGATGAATGCAGTGGAAATCATTTTGGATATAACAAAAAGGTATGCAAATAGGGAGAAAAAAAATCAATAAATTTGTATGTTATTTAAAAACTATATAATAGACTTATCACCTAAAATATTAACAAGGCAAATGTTGCAGGACACCCACACCATTAATTAAGAAGAAAAAAAATACAACCCCATCATTCACATGTTTAGCAAGGTAAACTATAATGTGGAGATTGATTTAGAAAGTGTCATGTAAATATGGGAGGATTTAAGGAGTAAGAGGGGGCACTAAACCCACAATACTGATTAATAAGGTAACTCTTACAAACCATCATCCACCAATTATCAAGGTAACCTGTAATGTAAAAACTAATTTAGAATCCACCCATACTTGGCATATTGTAATTACCTTGCATTGAAATTTTTCCTTGTATTTAAGAAATAATTATTTTTCTAATGGTAAGGACGAAAATTTTAATGAGAAATTAAAACCCTTAATAAGAAAATGCTACTCAACTTAGATTGCCACTTAATCAATATGTCTAGTTGATATTTTTGTCTTATTTTTTCTTATAGGGAACTTTATGTAAGATTTTAAAAGAGTATGTCTAACCTTGTATTTCGTGATTTTATTGAAAGAAGAGAGGAAATGATCAAGTTTCTACATGCCATCAAGAGAAAAGGCCAAAGAGGTGCAAGTTATTCAGAAGTTTTAATAATGGATTTTTTTTTTATATAAACTAAGAAGCATATGGAGAACATATTGATGGATTAATTTAGCTTTAGGAAATGGGGTAACTCCTTTAACTAAGTTGAACTAATTAACATGTTTTAAGCATGAAACATAATGCACCATCTTCATTTTATTTCAATTTCATGTATCAAGCATTGAAATTTACTAGCAAGCTTCAAATAAAGACCACCAAGTCCCAAAATATAAAGTTCAATAAAAACATTCCAACACAAGAGTTATTGAACATGTGGTATAGCTAAGCAAAGCCATATGATTAAATTAACTTTTTATAAACATCAATTTCCACATTGAATAGCCATGCACTATCCACCTTTCTTTGCTAAATTAGCTTCATTAACCAGATGTGTACAAGAATAATCTAATAAGTATAATATAAATTTCTTTGTCTAGTTCTTAAGTGTTGTTGGTGCTTATACTTAATTCCTCATTAAGAATTTTTGTTGTCGATTGCAATGTTGACACTTTATTATATATTAATATGTTTTCTTATTTAAAATCTCTTAAGTTACTTGAAAAAGCTCTTAACGATATGTTGTCGAATTATAATGGATTGCATCTGCTTTTTGATTGATAAGATCAATTTTTTTGGTTTAAAATTAGAGTTTTCGTTAATTAGGATTTACTATTGTAAATCATTTTCTCAATTATTATGTTGCTAACTTGTTAGTTAATTAACTATAGGCTGCAAAATCAACAAAGTTATTCATCTCCTTAACTATGCCAATAAGTGCACTACAATGTCTTGTATCACCATTTCTCTTTGCTACATTTAATGTTTTATTGATAATTAAAGTTGCTAAATACATCTATGTGACCATGAAATCATAGTCATTAGTAGCTAGATTTCTATCATAGCATGGATGTTAGTCAATTAAGAATAAATAAAGTCCTAAATGAATATGCATTGAATCTTGATCTTTTTGGATCATCAAAACTCTAATGAATATCTTTTTGGTATTTAAGTAATTTGAAAAGATTGTGTTGTTTCTTACTTTATTAACAAGTACCATTTTAGTTTATTCAAACATGCAAGTTTTCAATATAAGGCTAATAATGATTATTGGTCACAGTTAAGTTCGATATTGATGTAAGAAAAAAATGTTTAAGCTAAAAGTTAGTTGTTGCAAAACTTATTGCTCCAATTAATTTTATCTCAAAAATGAATTAATTCTAATTTATGACTAGATTTTTTTAAATGAATTAAGCTGATTCTGACATCATTAATATCTATGCTTTAAATAAAAAAGAAAAAAAGGAATATATGTAAATAGAAAATGCTATAACATACTATCCAAAAAAAAAAAAATATTAAAAAAGATTAAAATTAGACTTATAATTCAAAGATATTTATGTTTCATGCTTTTTTATAAAGATTAAAATATTTGATTTAAAAAAGAGATGGTGTAAACTAGATTGAAGTTGCCCAACTAGGCCTTGAATATGAGTCTAAAAAATATTGGAAACATTTATTGTGAAGATCAAAAAGTCCACCATCACGATCGACATCATCTTGTTGCATGTATTCAAAGTGATCACTGAAGTATATGCAGTTTGGTTTAATTCCAGAAGCAACTATATGATGCAATCAAAATGTTTAGTTATGACCTACAAATAAAGAGTAATCCCCCAAAACATTGATGGAAAACCATTGAGAGTAAGAACAAGAAGACATATCAATAGTTTGCACAAACTTGAACACTGAGATCTTGGTTATCTTTATTGAATCAATTCCACCCAGCACCCTCTCAATTCCTAGATGACTTTCCAACAAAAAATGCAATATAAACCTTACAGTGAAGTTTTCCAGAAATTTGATAGTCTTATCGGGCAAATCAATCGAACATCTTATAGAACAAAATCAAAGGTCAATACCATCGAGAAATGTGTGATTGTGTAGAACCTTTGTTTTCTACATGATAGTAAACAATCTTCAAATTCCTCTCTACAAAAAATAATCCCTATTCATGATCCTTCCCATTGAAGACAACTTTGGTATGATACTTTTAAGAGTATTTAAATTAGATTTAATGTGAATCCAGCCAAACACAATAAATAGTTTAAATAAATAATGTGTTAAGTTAAATCTAATTTTGCTTCTTTTTTTATTAAATCCTGATTTACTAAATCCACTTATTATTTAGATTTAATGAATTTAGTGCAGGAAAAAAATATTTTGAATAAATTTATGCGAAATATATCAATTAAATTTAATTGGATTTAACCTCGATTAAACCAATCATCATTTCAAATTTAATAATTTTTTAATTTAATAAATTCATATTTATCTAATTTAATAAATTCTATTTGGTTCACAGCCACACGCCTCTAAGGCTCCACCACTTAAAACCGATATAATCCTCTCCCCCTCGCCCTCCCTTTCTCCATCATCACCACCTCTCCTAGCGAATCTCCCTTCCTTCTCGCCGGCGTTGAGCTGCTGAAACCATAAATATGTTCAAATTCTCTTATGCTACCCCTTCTTCCACTTCGCTCCCTTTCATTGACTTCGAAGTTTGCTCCGGCGATCTCCAAGTATGCATACATCTTTGATTCACTATCTTCTTCGTCAAAGAAAAAAAAGTGATCTTTTTTACTGTGATTTTGATTCTGATATTGAGATAAAAATCTCGTTTTTCAGCATATGAACGCTTCCCTATGCTCCGGCGCGACCTCCGGCATGAAGGTCGAGCGCTACAGCGCCAAAGATCGGCGGGAGAGGATTGAGAGGTACCGGAACAAGAGAAACCAGAGGAACTTCCGCAAGAAGATAACTGTAAGTGGTATCCTCTTTCCCCAGTTTTCAAATACTAATTTGATTTTGACTCCTTTACTTCAAAACATAATCTAAACTGAATCAAATTTTTAGCTCATTAAGTAAAGAAATTAAATTTACATCGAAAATCAGTTCTTAAAGTTTTAGATAGAGTTGATGTTTATCGATGAAGCACATTAGCAAGAATTTTCAGCACCCCTTGCTAAAATCAGGATTCATACTTTCCTCATTCCCATGTTAAAAAAGTTTGATTTTTAAGAATGTTTGGGTGCAGTACGCTTGCAGGAAAGCATTAGCTGATAGCCGGCCGAGAGTGAGGGGGAGGTTTGCGAGGAACGATGATGCAGAGCTAGAAACAGAGTCGTCGGAGAAGGGCAGAACTTGTGGTGATTGGCGGAGAAAAATGAAGGCGGTGCTGATGGCCGCCGGCGAGGAAGATGATGATGATGAAGATCTCTTGGTGGGCTTGGAAAACGCCTTATTTATGAACCTGAACTGCGCTGCTCTTTCTTGAGCTAATATGAAGTTGGTTGTTTTTACAATATTTATTTTAGAATTGAAGTTGAATATAAATAAAAAAATAATAATATTTGTAAAAGACTGATAAAAAAGTGATGTACTTTTTATCTTTTGCTTTATTTTTTGATATTTTTACTAAAATAAAATCAATATAAAGTTCATATTTCAACAAGATGCATTGTCCTTCTTGTGTTAGACAATTTGCTTTTGATCTGTATTTGGATCTTAATTTTGGAAGTTAGTCGGAGTTAGTTGAAATATGATGTCTGACTTTTGTATGTCATGCATGCATTTATTTGAGTTGTATTAAATTTGCATAAATACAACACAATTCTCATGTATTTATCCAACACATAAATAATCATCTTTCTTTTTCTTACATTTGGGCTAATTAAATTGTAAATATACACACAATTTATATACAAAATATAAAGATTATAGCTACTTTCTAATCATAAAGATTGAAAATCATTTCTCACTCCATGTTAGTCTAAATTCCATCATAAAAGAATTGATTGATATATAATTTCGATTAAATAACATGTTGCGGGTTTTTTTAATGAGATTCAGTCATTTTTTAAGTATTTTTTAGGCATTAGGGCAATTGAAGGAAGGAGCTTATGTTTAGTGGCATTTTGTAGAAGGAATAGTATATTGCATGAGAAGATGAGAAATCTTGTGAAATATCACATTTTATTTGTATGGAAGGATACTCGTGTACCTTCATTGTCTTCTCAACATCATTAATTGTGCAAAGTGAATTCTCAAACTTTTTTTCTTAAAATTATGCACATTATTTTCAACAAATGTGATACGTGTTTGTGCACCGATTGCACTTTTCTCCGGCTCCTGTTTTTCGCTTTCTTTTGCTTTGTTAGATGGAACAATATTCAATCTTGATTTTATCAACATGTCATGTCATTCTTCATTTTTTTCTCTCTCCTCTAACCTTCATAAAGTCATATTTTCTAGAGGTATAATATTTATTGGCATTTTTCCACTTCCCATCACAATTATGCTCACATATCTAAATAATTTTTCCCTCTCCCTTCCTCATCCCCAATCCTCTCTTTTCGGGGTTTTCTTCCTAATTCCTTACACATGAAACATGAGAGAGCATACCAATGATGTTTTGGGATTGACTCATAAAATCTATTTAAATTGAAATGATGTTTTATAGACCAAGATGCCAACCCCAAAGAGTTCATTTTGTTTTTTGCTAACCACGTTGAGGGAGAAGTCTCATTCTTGAGGAATGTTTTTTGTTCATCGGAGGAAAAAGGAGAACTTGCTCTTATAGACTGTATCTAGTAAAAAACCTTCTATGAAACTCCAATTGCTATTATTAAAAAGAAGATTACAATTTAATCTTTAGATCTGCAGAACATTAATAAATTATTTTTACATATGAAATTAGATTTGCATAAAACTCATTACTTTTGTGCAAACATAAAGTTTATTTCAAATGCCTTAGATCACAACACAAACATATTGATCAAAAACTTAGTGGGTAATTCACAATTGGTCAAAGTGTAATCAATGATTCTATATAAAAAAAAAAACTTATTACTGTCCACATCTCTTGGGATGAAATCATATAGTAGACTTCTTAGCAAAATGCAGATAACCTCACTCCACTTCCATTCAAGTCCTAGAACATCTATCAATGTAATGATGGTACATGTTCATAAATATATTTTTTTTCTTTCTTTAAAACACTTTTCCTATATTTTTGAAAGATTCTTTCGTTTGAGCTGTTCAAATATTTGGCTAAGATGGTGGTTGGGCACTTATCTACAATGCATATTGATATTTTATCTATAAAAGACGCCATACAAAAAAAAAATTATCCTACCCCAAAAGTAGCCTAAATTGCCAAAGTTTATATAAATCATAAGAAGTCCTTAATGAAATCCATTCTAATTAGCACAAAAATGATTCACGAAAACAAACTTCACAATCAAGTCAAGCAAGCAAGGCTATTATTTACTCATCCTTCACTGAGATGCTAAAAAATAAGCAAAAATTTTGTTAAAGCTTCCAACTAAATATATTATTTCACCAACGAAGTCAACAATTACACATGAACAATGCTAAGCACTTTTGAAGACTACTTTAAATTAAAGCATATATTCTACTCAAAATATACATACTCGCTCATATCTCATCTTATTAGTTGAATACTTCGTCATAAGTCGCCTATACTTGAAAAAAAAGAGTTGAAAGTCAATAAAAGCAAGGTGATCATTTGCCCCTATACTCAAACAACTTATAGTGATACGCCTTCGATCAAGATTAAAACATCTTATTAATGCTAGCAAATATTCACTTAATACTACCTTATAAAACATAAGTAGTTTCATAACATGACCTCTAAAAGGCACAATTGTGGGAGCACCAATGTTCTTTTTTTGTTTACATTTATGAATTTATTGTCTACTTTCTTTTCTCCAATGCATCACTTGAAATTATTGCTAAACCCTTAATGTAGTAGATGTAGGCCATTTTTATTAATCCACCATGAATCATTGTGCTCATTTTGTCATATTATTTCCCCCTTTCTATCTCATCTTAAAATAAGAGTTTAATTTAGCTATTTTTTTCTCTTTTAATTGAACTATCATATTATTTGAGTGATGCCTCTTGCCCTTCCCTATGCCCATTTGGTCTTTCCATCTCTCATTTGAGCATTGAATCAATCCTTTGGAGGATTCCTTACAATTTATTTATACTTTATTCCATTTTATCTTTAAAATCCTAATCAAAACATTAGAGCATATTCTCTTGCCATTCAATGAAGATGATAACACAGATAAAATTAAGGGACAAAATTATATATTTTAATGAAAAACACATTAACAAAATATAATTAATTATTAGAGAAACAAACACATTGGGCCTAGCATGAAGCCAGAGTATCGAGCTTCAAAGACTTTTAACTATATATATATAGGTGTAAACGAGCCGAACACGAGTGAGCTCAGGCTTAACTTGTGTTCAGCTCGTTTATATTTCGAGCTCAAAAAGTGTGTTCGTGTTCAGCTCGTATCGTTTGCTTTGCGAGCCGAATACGAGCCGTTCACGAACAAAGAGAAGTTTTGATAAGTAGTTTTGACAACTCTAAACATGCAGTCATAAAATATTAAGAATTGAGGAAAAATTTAAAACATCATTTGAATCTAATTTAATAATTTTTATTTTATTTTCTTAATTAATGCTCTTAATTGATTATAAATCTTTGTAGCCTTGTAACCAATTAATTTTATAAAAAATACTACTAATCAATTATATATATATAATTGATTATTAGTATTTCGAGCCAAAACGAGCCGAACACGAGCTTCTTAACGAGCCGAAACAAGTTGTTCGCGTACAACGAGCCGTTTTGACAGCCCTATATATATATATATATATATAAAATTAACTGATTAATTAAAATCAACTCAAACTCATTAAAAGCCCTAACTTTCACATGGAAGTTCTTGATTTTGTGAGTGTGGGAATTGATTAAAGAACAACTCATGTTTTTATATGATACGAGAATTATAAAATCAAAGCGCTAATTAAACTTTTGTGTATAGCGAGGATCACCCAAATGAGAGAGTATTACATCTATCGTCCGGACGCCGAGCTGCGTCCGGGTGACGACATCTCTGTATCACGGCATTCGCTTGGACGCAGCTCGGCGTTCGGACGGCGGACGTAATAATTTTTCCACCTAAATAGCCATGACAAACACACTCGATTTTTAGCACTGCAAGACAAACGGTCACTGTTGTTAATCGGTTTGAATCAATTGATTTTAAAATCGATCAAAACAATTACAATCCAAATTTAATTTTTTTTTAAAAATTTAGTTGTTAGTTAGAGTTCAATTATATACAAACATCGAGAATTAAATGGCTTACATGTGTAATATCAATTTAATTTCAGGAATTTTCTATTTAATTTCAAAAAAAAATTATTTATTCAATTAATTGAAAATTAAAATCAAACCAGAAACCGAAAATTGAACATTGAATTTTTAGAATCAAAAATTATTTTGGAAATCAAACTGAATCAATCAAATTTGTTCAAGTTTGACCAAATAATGCTCAACCTTAAATTTAAATATTAAGAGAAAATAAGCGCTTTCGCTATATTCATCTGGTCATTGCTGCCTTCTTGAGTAGGGGTGTAAACGAGCCGAACACGAGCCGTTCACGAACAAAAAGTCATTTTGACAAACCTAATCACGTAGCTATAAGATGTTAAGGATTGAGGCAAGATCTAAAACATCATTTGAAACTAATATAATAATTTGTATTCTATTTTCTTAATTAATAATTTTAATTGATTATAAATCTTTGTAGCCTTGTAGTTAATTAATTTTTTTAAAAATACTACTCATCAAAGATATACATACATGTGTGTGTGTGTGATAATTTTAAAAATACATTTAATTTTTTTGGGGCATTTACATACATACCGCCTAATTCTTATGTATTTAATTGCATATCCAACACCTAAAATTTATTTTTTACGAAGACGCCATCAAGGAATTTCCATCATATAAGACAAACCTCGAGGAGTGACTAGAATCTCGAGATAAATTTTTTTAGCAAGAAATGTTAAAACTTTCGATCGAAAGCCATCTAAAATTCTAATTTCATCAAACTTATGGTCAAACTAACTGGCTCAATGAGACGAATCTAACATAAGCAAAATTTATGCAATCCGAGGCAATTAAGCCCATATCAAGGCATTAAACTATTTGCTGGAGCTTTCACGCATAATTAGAAGATCAAAGGAATTCCAAATCTGGCATGCTTATAGTCATATCGAGAGTCTCGACAAGACGAATCCAACGAGCCCAAGATTGCTCAATTATGAGATCTTTAAAGTACTTAAATGTTAATCAATTGCCAACAAATCAATGCAATCTCTTCGGGTCGTTCGATCAGAATGATATGAATTTCTTTCTTATTTGTAACCTAGACTCTATAGATAGAGCATTACTCCAGAGCCAAAAAAGACCAAAGCTTG